TTTGTTCTGTTCCCTTGTTAGATATCTGTGTCCTGAGCTGTTTTATCCTTTTTTGTTCTGGAAAATAATTTTTGAAATGTCAAAACTTCAAGCCGCTTTTGTCAAGCTTAAACAGTCTTGTTGAACTTTGAAGGAGACCTCGGGATGAGACACATGAACTTTTGAAGCTGCCTTAGCTGGCTTGACTTTGATCAGCATTTGAGACCGGGGGGGGGGGGAACCCAAACAAAACAATAGCCTGAAGTCTTTGTGGACCTTGTAGTTCTGGGAAACAGCTATGTTTGAGGCCAAAAGACATACGTAGCTTTGTGCTGAAATGCTCTGTGCCAGCCATGCTCTTTCTTTGCCTCTGCCTCTCCTTCATTCCATTTCTCACAGCCGGCGGAGACGGGCCGCGTCAGTCACTACTTGATTTATTGGGACTCTGTGTAGACACTGTTTCGTTTTTGTTTTGTCCTTCCTTATGCAATCGGACGACCTAGCGTTAATGACAGCCTGGTCCTGAGCCCGAACGTTCTACCTGCCGGGTGAATTCCATTGAATAATGTTGAGTTGTTCCAGAACAAAAGACCCTTCCTTCCTGCATGCTAGTGATGTTTTACGTCTCTGGGACTGTAGCTGGTTAGCATTGGGAAATAGAATATCAGGGTTGGAAGGGACCTCAGGAGGTCATCTAGTCCAACCCCCTGCTCAAAGCAGGACCAATCCCCAACTAAATCCCCAAATCCCCCCCTCAAGGATTGAACTCACAACCCTGGGTTTAGCAGGCCAATGCTCAAACCACTGAGCTAAATACCTTGATCATTTTGGGACCAATGGCTGAGCTGAAATCCTGGCACAGTTGATGTGAATGGGAGTTCTGAAATGGACTTCGGTGGGCCCAAAGTTTCAGCTCTAGGACATGAATCCTTCCGCACATTTCACATGGCTAACGTGAGCCGCAGCACTACTTCGGTTTGGCCCATCTGCCCCTTTGTCAATGGAGACATAGGGGCAGACGGGCCAGATTTAATTGGCGTTGCGACCTAGTGCATAGGGTTGCAGCACCATTCAAATTTGGCCCAGCCACCCCACTGTAGATGGAGGGGTGGCCGGACCGAACCTGAGCTGTGCGGCGACCCTGTGTGCCGCTCACAATGCCTCTCAGTTTGGGGGATCCAGAGTAAACTGCCCCGTCTTCCCCGCTGCGGGGGGCCCTCAATGCGGGAAATGTTCTGCTTTAACCGGGGCAGGTAGATTTGGAGGTCAAAGCGGGACAGTCCCTTGAAAGCTGGGACCGTGCGGAGGCCTGACTCTGGTTTCTCGCCGTTCTTTAGAGTTCAGTGTTGGCGGCTCTCCTGATTTTTCATAAGTGACGGGATTTCAGCCAGGGCCGGAGCCTAGACTGGTGATGACACGAGAAACTCCAACTCTCTTGCCCATCTCCTGGGGCAGAGCATCCAACCAGAGCTCCTGCAGGAAGAGCTCTGTCCCCCTGCACCCAACAACCTTAAGCCAGCCTCACAAGAGGAGAAGGGAGCAGATAGGGTCCAGCAACTCAGGGGGGCTCTTTTCTTCCCCTCCCTTCCTGTGAGCAATGGGACAAGGTGTCTCCTCTGCTCTCCCTCCCTGCCCTACCCAGCCTGGGTAGTGGGGGGGCAGCTCCAGGGGGGGTAAAGAGCCCCTGGAGCTGCCCCCCACTTCCTGCTAGAAGGGAGAGAGGGGTCCCTGTTACAGCTACGAGCCCCAGGCCTGGGAGACGGGGAGTGAAGAGCCCCAGGAGCTGCAGGAGGGAAACGGGGACTGAACTGTTGGGTTGGGGGCAGAATTAGCTTCTGGGCAGGGAACAGACAGATGTGGGGCTGAGAGCTCCTGCAACAGAAACCAAAAGCCCCTTGCCCAATAAATCTGGGTGAGTGGGCAATACACACACCCTTTTTGCCTGGGGGTGACTAAGTGTGAAGGTGATGAGGATACCCGTGAGCCTGCCTGACAATCTGAGCTGGGGGAACAGGTCTCCTAGTCACCTGCACTAGCTTGTGCATAAGCTGGTCTGTGAGTGGACAGAGAAATAAATACATGTATGCGTGTGTGGGTTTGTGAAAAGGTCTTGTGTTTGGGAGAATAGATCTCCCAGTTTACATGGCCATTGGCCTGAATTCTGCAAGTCCAAAGGGCTCTCGGAGTCCCCCGTTAGTGCCATGTTCGCCTGTTGCCGTGTATAGTGCTTGCATAAACTTCTTTTCTCTTTTTTACTTGCCTCTCAACAGCAAACACGCGGTTTCCAGCTGGGTTTTTCAAAGGAGCCTGAAATTCTATGGGTATTGGATACCTAGCTCCACTTTCAACCTATCCCCCACCCCCCAATACCTGTCTCTATGCTGCTATACCTTTTGAATAGTCTTGGTGTTTTTTAAACTTAGCTTTATGCCTTTTTATTTCTGTTTTGCTTCTTGGTTAGTTTGTTGCTCTTAGTTTATTGCCTATTGATTTTGTTTCTATTAATTTGGGGTTGGCTGCATTTTAAATCAGGGTAGAGAGCTTTGGTGACAGTGTAGTGTGCTGGTCCATGTCGTTGCTCGGTCCTTTAGGGCGGGGGGAATTTTCCCTTCAGGTGCCCTCATGGAATATACCTGGGTAGTTCTCAAAGCCGCCCTCCCCCCCAGTTTAAATACAATGGAAGTAAGGCCCAAGATTTTTTTTAATATACATATTGCATATACGAATATATAAAGTGTGTATGTGTAAACACCCCCCCACACGTACATATCTGTAAATTGTATAAATGTCCAATATGCAAATATAGGCACCTAAATAAGTGGCCAACTTTTCCTACCTCCCATTGAAATCAACTGGAGCTGCTGAGAACTCGGCACTTATTTCTCATTGGGTTTTCCCAGGCCGCTCATTTAAGCACCTGCACTGAGACGCCTGCTTTATAAATCTTTCATGGGTGCGGCAGGAGGAAGGTGATTGAGAGGTTTCTTTCTCACTAGGCCTTGATAATCCTCATTTCCATGGCAATTAACTTTTAATTTTCAAACGGATGCATGTGGGCTGGTTCTTATCCTGAGGGGGTTCGTTAATCGCTTGGCTTCCACTGGTGCTAATGGGAGACAGGAGACGAAAACCTCACACAATGTTTTTGGAAATTAAAGACTGACTCCTTTATTAAGTCGTGTGAGTCTTCTGTGCGGCAAAGGGATAAACCCTGGTGCTGTAGAGACTCTCACTCTGGGGAGTCACTTGGAAGGCTCTGAATCCTCAAAAATCTAGTGCATTTTTGCCCTCTATTTTAAAGGTTATATTGAGACCTGGAAATCGAAAGGAAAGAAACAAATTAGTTCCAGGCCTCTCTTATAGTCCACAAAGTACATCTGTTTCTACCATTCTTCTCTGAAGGTGTCTTCTCCCAGTGGCCTCCATCCCCTGCTTTTGGTGTCTTCTACACCTGTTACTTCACCAAATGCTACTTTTAATGGCCAGGGTTCCCTGCCTCACCTCTGATCTGTGCAGCACTCTTACAGACGCAGTCTTATAATCAATGTAATTGAAGATCAGAGTTAATGAGGACCTCTGCGTCTGTGAAATCCCCCTAGCGATGCTGGGCTTCAGATGTTAGATAAGGAAATGATTGGGCTGAACTGAAAATCTATTTGGCTAATTAGATGATGCAAATTCCCACAAGGCGGTGGGGGTGGGGGTGCGGGAGAGATACATTTCACAAATAAAGAAACATCAGATTTCTTAGGAAAAGGGTTTTGGCAGGAATTTACTTCAGTCACTGACCTCTGGAGGAAGGGAGTTTCAGGAGAGAGAAGGCTGCTCATGCGGGGAAGTGAGGGGGGAAAAAAAAGGAACATCTTTTACTGGACCAACTTCTGTTGGTGAAAGAGATGAGTTTTCGAGCTCCACCGAGCTCCTTTTCAGGGGAAGTAGCATATGGGGCAGGTTCATGCCTTTTGAGCCAAGAGCTATCTGGTGGTGCATTCTGCTGCTGCTGTCTATGAACGTATATGGCCCTCATCTCCCTAGAATCCGTGGACCTCAGAAACACCACCCTATGAGATGGGGAAGTGTTCACCTCCTTTTACAGATCAGGAGCTGGGGAACAAATGTAGCCATTTGTCCAGGGGCAGGGAGTCTGGCAGAGCCAGGTGGTGAATCTGGGTTTTCTGAGTCCTGGGCTAGTGTCGTATAAGCAGGGCGAATTCATGCAGATTTGAGCTGAACGGCAGGTTCACATTCGGGGGTGGGGGGTTCTCAGTACTCCTGAGTGCTCTGTTGCGGCTCTCAGGCTGTTCACTGAGGGCAGTGGAACAGCCTGGTTCTGGTGGTGGGAAGCAGCTCTGGTAGCTCACCAGGCTGTGAGAGGACATAGGGTTGGGCCGATGCGATGCAATGAAGCCCCAACACCCTGTTTGTAGATCTGAGCAGTAATCCTCCTCCCTGAGCTCCCCCATCTCCTGGGGAAGATAGTTCCCTCCAGTAAGCGGGGTGGAAGGGAGCAAAACGGGTGGAAAGGGCCAAATAACCAATGAAAGAGGAGAGTGACATCTACGGCTCATGCTCCTTCCATTCTTTAGCCCCCAGAAGACCCTTTGTGTGAATATTCGTGCATCGGGGCTCTGTGTGATTTGGGGAGTTGTTGAGGATCAAGAAGACGGAGCAAGGGAGCAATCGTCCGTTCCTGGCAGGAATCGCTCTGGAAAACCAGGGGACGGTAACTCTGGAGTGTCACAGAGGAGGCTGCTCGGCACAGTTGCATCTGATGCACTACACATGAGATTGGCAAGAGTTTGCTTTCTGCAAATAGCACAGCTGGGCCCAGAGGGAAGTGGGAAGAGCAACTGCATGGTCACATGATGATGCTCTACCCACGCTGTGTGCAAACCATTAGGGATCTTGTCTGAGGTGTCTGTCCTCTTCTCCTCTTACCCTCTCCAGCTATGCTGAAGTGCTTGGAGTGTTGATTACACCCGACTAACAAACTGCCCCTTTCCCTGTTTTTCCCCCTGCAGGAAGCAGTTTTGTTGTGAGCGAGGGAAGCTACCTGGACATCTCTGACTGGTTAAATCCAGCCAAGCTCTCTCTTTACTATCAGATTAATGCCACCTCCCCCTGGGTGAGAGATCTCTGTGGGCAGAGGACCACCGATGCCTGTGAGCAGCTGTGTGATCCAGAGACGGGTAAGTGGAAAGCGGCAGGCAAGAGACTTGGGGAAGCGTTGGAGGTGTCTGTCTACACAATCCGTAGCAGGCTCTGCCTGCCTAAACTTTTGCTTGGTATTAAGAGTGTCTGTGCTGGTGGAAGTGCAGTCCTTCATAACCGACGAACGATTGCTCTACCAGCCCTTGAGCATTGGGCTGCTAGGTACTGTCCCTTCCACAATGACGTAATTTAGCAATGATCTCTCATGCAGCTCTCCAGCACGCAGTTAGAAAGGGGGGTACAGTACTGTCTTTTCTAACTTAGAAATGGTCTCTCTTTTGATTATGATTTGTACTGTGGTAGTTCCTTGAGCCTCTATCATCGACCAGGACCCTACTGTGCTAGACATCTGTCAGCTCTCCAGCGTGACACTGTGAGGGAGAGGAGTTACTCTGCTGTTGAGAGTTGTCCGTCATCTGAATAGCCTTCCCCTGCAGGGTCCACACACATCACGGCATCAGGATCACAGTCTTGTTGGAGATGCTGCGGAAACTGCAAGCCCGTGCAATTGTGTGCTGTGCCCTAATGCCTCTCAGCACAGCTGTGGGAAGCTTGTCCCCAGAGCCTGTAATTAGCAAGGAATTGAAAAGAATCCAGCAAATAAAGGAAAGGAATTAAAAAGAAAACTTGTCAGCAAATAAACTCATGGCTCTGGCCAACTGAAAGCTCCTTATCAGGTCACTTTCCACTGACACCTCCTTTTCTGCCAGCGCTGATAATGAGGGAGCGGGCGCTCTGCATGTGAAGATGGCTCTGTGGCTGTGGTTGGTTTGCTGATGAGGGCCCTTGGTGCCCTCTGCAGGGTTCGGGGAGAGTTACCATTTCCCGGTGCCTCTCCCTGGAATGCTTTCCTGGCTGGCTGGAGGGAAGTGGCCTTGGCGCTGATAAAACTCCCTGCCTGCAGCTGAATCTAAAAAGCATGCAAATAACCTTGCCTCCCGGAACAGAAATGGGATAAGCTTTGGCTCATTGAAGGAGAAGCATCAGACCTTCCCCTCCTTCCACCCCAGCTCTTGTGCAGCCGGTGCTAGGGAGAGCCACAAATCCCCAGCAGCAGGGTGGGATTCTGTTTTCAGGTTTCTGCTGGCTGGATTTGAAGAGGGGCAGTTTGTGGCCATCAGGCTTGGAATGCGCTCTTACCCCATGGCAGCCTGTGAGGAAGAAAGGGGGGCTGCATTTTCAACTCTTTCAGCACTTACAGCTGTGAAAGCTTTCTCCATGTCATAGAATCATAGAATATCAGGGTTGGAAGGGACCTCAGGAGGTCATCTAGTCCAACCCCCTGCTCAAAGTAGGACCAATCTCCAACTAAATCATCCCAGCCAGGGCTTTGTCAAGCCTGACCTTAAAAACCTCTAAGGAAGGAGATTTCACCACCTCCCTAGGTAACCCATTCCAGTGCTTCACCACCCTCCTTGTGAAAAAGTTTTTCCTAATATCCAACCTAAACCTCCCCCACTGCAACTTGAGACCATTACTCCTTGTTCTGTCATCTGGTACCACTGAGTTCCAGCTGAGCTACCCCCCCCCCACAAGACTCTCTCCCTTCCTGAGCAGAGTTGTTTCTGGCTGACATCAAGGCTGCTGCAATTTGTGTCCTTTCCATCTTTTTGCAATGACCACAACGGGAGGCAGTGGCACCAGATACACCAGTTGGAGAGTGACTGCATGAGGCTAGTGCTTATCTGTTTGGCAGCTTCATGAGGGCTGAATTTTAGGTGGGGGCACCAGACCTTGTCTTAGCTGCTCATTCATTAATGAAGGGCACTTCTCAGTGCGCTGCTGGGGCTGTCACACTGTTCACTGTGGGGCACTGGAGCAGCCCAATTCTGGATGTGGAAGAGGAGCTCTGTCAACTGACCAAGCTGTGAGCAGGGCCTAGAGTTGGGCTCAAGCTAAATTTATTTTGCTTTGATTTTCTTTGCTCCTGTCTCAGGAAGTTGCCACCCCACACAGGTCAGGGGCCATTGTGGCTGTGGAGATACAAACACCATCTGGGATCCGGGAGATGCTTTGCCCTGGCCCAGATAATGGGAGAAAGGAGTCCCAAAAGCAAGGGGGGGAGGGACTTGCCGTTATAAAACATCAGGCACTTGAGTCATTTAAGGCTGGGTTGTGTTCTCAAGAGCGGGTCAAATATCTGTGTCCATGAGTAGTTTGGAGGAGATGTGTTTTATTCCCTTCTAAGTGTTTCTCTTTCTCGGGGCTTGTCTACAGAGGGAAATTAACCAGCATAGGAATAGCAGGATAATATTTCCATTATAGCTATGCTGGTCAATTTCCCTGTGTAGACAAACCCTCAGTATCAAGACTTCCAGGAAAAAGGGAAGAACCAGCCCAGCAAGGAGGGCTGATCTGTACATAGAAGCTTTCCCTCCAGATATCTCAAAGCCCTTTGTAAACTATATAGAGAGATCATTTCAGCTGTCAGAGAAGCGCAGTCACCCTCTGGGGCGGGAGGCAGCCCATTGTAAGTACACCACAATTCAGAGAAGCAAGTAAAGAATTCTCCATCCAGCTGAAACTGCGGGGAGACCGTATGGAGGCAGAATGCAGTTACCCAGTCAGACCAAGCCCTGCAGCTCCGTTTGCAAGCCCCATGCTGTCCTTGGCATTGAAAGAGCTGGTTTAATTCTCTCGCGGTCTCTGCAGTGCTGCTGGCCCCATCTGTACAACGGCTGCAGCCCATGTTTCTCTTGCCGGTGAGAGCAGCTGGTACCTCTTGCTGGCTCCCCTGCCGTGCTTTAGCAGAGGATGACAGAACTCAGTCCGAGGGAATGGAGCAAGGCTTGCTCTGCGCCTTTGACGTGCTGTAGTCCACCTTCGCTGGCTGCCTCTGCCCTTTTGCCAAGAATGTTCCTCAGGCACATCCCGCAAAAGGAGCATCCGCTCCTTACTGAGTGCAGTAGAAATCAGTGGAGAGATGGGCGGATTGGGTCCCTTTCTGATCCAAGTAGCGGCCGTCCTGCACCCTGCTGTATCGCTGATCTGGCTGAGAAATAAATCAGTTCAAAGTCCCTGACAGGGGCTTACTGGCCGTGAGCAACAGAGAGAGGATGAGCTCAGCCCTCGCCTGTAATGTCTAGTCCAACCACAGGGAGCTCGTGAAGGCCTGGGAACAGCTAGACCAGGAAGGCTGAGAGAGCAGATCTGGCACACGAGGTGTCTGAGCACGGGGACCTACCATGAAGAAGTGTTCTATTCTTAAGCCTGTCCTGCTGCTCTTGACTCACCTGACTATGCCTGCTTATTTCAGCACATATGTTCTCTCTCTCCGGGGTCTTGGAAAGTGTTGGTCGCAAGCACTGCATCACGGAGGCTCGGGGAGGTGAGTCAATGAGCAGCATTGATCTCAACTGGGATATTCTTAACCTTAAGCTTAAAATTAAGCACCTCTCTCCTGTTTTTTTCCCAGCAAGGAGAGATCAAGGGCAGAAATTGCAAAGCGGATCTCATCTTTTCTCCAGACCAGTTGATAAACAGGAATAGAGTGTTGCTGTTGGGAAGATGCTGGCCACGATTTTAAAACGGGACTAGTGATTTTGGCAGCCTAACTCTGAGAGTGTGTAAAGTGACCCGTTTCTCAGGAATTCTGAACACTCACCCTTTGAAAACCTGGAGAGTTGAGTGAGCCCCCCAAAACTGAGACAGTCAGAATCTCTAGGCACCGGTGACAATCGTGGCCAGTATGTTTGTGATATGGCTACTTGGCAAGAAAGTTCTGTGGTAGGGGAGTGTTTCGGGAGGGGTGGGTGGGAGAAGAAACTGTTCATGGGTCAGCATTTTTTTTTTAAGTGGCATTTTATCATTTTGAGGGGAAAAGTCCTGGGGTCCTGCTGTGTAATAGAAATTGTGTCTGATTTCAACCGTTTCAGGTGAGGGGTTTTATAAACTTGTTGGATCCCGAGTGATGGTTTGCTAGAGGCCTCCCACCCCCCACTCCCCCAGCTGGATAGAGGATTGGTGGGAGGAGAGGTCCTATGGCAAGTGACGGCTAGAATCAGGAGGGAGAATGACCCACATAGCATGAGGGACCCCACTTCTAGTGACAGCCCCTTGCCCTTGCGTAGCATTTCTGCTCTGAAGGTCTCAAAGTGCTTCACAGGCATTAGTTAAGCCTCTTTCCTGCGAGGCAGCTTGGCATTGTAATCCCTGTTTTACAGGTAGGTAAACTGAGGCAGTGAGGGGAGATGGGTTTGGCCCAAGGAGCTAGAGTGAATCATTTACAAAGCTGGGACTGGAATCCAGAACTCCTGCTGTAACCATCCAATGAAGCCTGGGTGTGGGATAGAAGGGTAGAGCCCTGTAGTCAATCCATGTCCCCCTGGGGTGTCACAGCCATAGGCAGGGAGAGGACTCGGGCCTTTCTGCTCCAGAAGCACAGGCCTCTTCCACATGAACTAAAGGGGATCTCCTTTAGCTGTAGCAGTACGAGGGGCCTGTGACACACGTGTGAACAGGTCCACGCAGTCCATGCTGTGAAGGGCAGCAGTGCATTGACATACTAGCCTTTGCCTTACAAGTTCCTAGTAGGCAACCTGTGGCATGCGTGCCAAAGGCAGCACATGAGCTGATTTTCAGTGGCACTCACACTGCCCGGGTCCTGGCCACCGGTCCGGGGGGCTCTGCATTTTAAATGTAGCTTCTGAAACATTTTAAAAACCTGATTTACTTTACATACAACAATAGTTTAGTTCTATATTATAGACTTCTAGAAAGAGGCCTTCTAAAAACGTTAAAATGGATGACTGGCACGCGGAACCTTAAATTAGAGTGAATAAATGAAGACTCGGCACTTCTGAAAGGTTGCCGACCCCTGAAGTAGCTCTTTGGGGCAGGGACTGTCTTTTCCATGTTCATACAGCGCCCAGCACGATGGGGACCTGGGCCACGCCGACAGTACAAATAACACAAATTAGTCTCCTACTCCCAAGCGTCAGGGTGCCCTAGGTATTATGGGAGATGTGATTGCTACCAT